CCCCCCCACTTCAAACCATAACAATTATGAATGGAAAAATAGTTTTCAGTCTAATTAAGTACTTGAATCTTATTTTTTTAATATGGCTTAATAATTATGGTTTTTTTAATGAAACAGCAATTTAAAGGACTATGTGTTCCAGTTCTTGAGCACCCGAAACTCCAGGACATCTTATTGATTCCTGTCGTTGGACCCAGGTTTGAAATTTTCAGTCTTTAGCCTTAAAATGTCTCAACACATATTTTACTTATAGATTTATTGTCAAACAGTGATAACTAACTCACTATAAATGAAGCACAATTGCATTTATATTGTGACCTACTGGACAGTCCATATCCTAACCAAGTCAAAGTTTTAGTGTTTAAAAGATATAAGAAAACATAGAGTTCTCTCCTTATTGATGAGATTACCTTTTTATAGGGAAAATGTAACATAAGTACATCCTTTCTGGAAAGCCAGGTAGGTGGTAGACAGAAGAACTAAACATTTTCAGTGGAATGTAGAACTATAGCTAAATACAGGCAGAGTTTTCTTCCACTGGAATCAAGTCCAGAGCACGACTTAGGGCGACTAGATCAATAATACTGAGAGGATTCTTGAGTTAATTTTATCCCCTACAAAATAACAATTTGTTCTCCATTCTTAAGAAATATTTGGATATTGCCCATGTTGCATCTGTGTTGGACCCTATGGAGTTTATTCATTGTTTTATTGAATTCACTGGTGGACATTTTATTTAAAGTGTCCTTTTCACAATGAAGACTAACATACTTCAGATTCAGTTTGTATCATGATTAGGTAGAGATTGGTAACAAGTAGTACTGGTTTGTAAATGCTGTATGCTCTAAAACAGCATTTAATGCTTTTACTTATTCTTCTTTAATTCATTTAATTCTCTTTTGTAGCATCTTTTTCTGAACATTCTATTCTTTTCATATTCAAGTATGTTTACACTTTAATGAGTTCAAGTAACTATCTTTTTCACAGTTCTTACTGGCAAAGTTCCTTACCCTGGTTATACATTTATTGTAGAAGTACTTAGCAGTTGTTAAACACAAAAGATCACTTTACAGTCCACTGGCCTAGGAAAGGATAGAGGATTATTTCTCCATCCCACTGTGATTTACTTGTGTTCCTGTGTCAGGTTCGTAATAGTGGCACTATGTGTCAGTATCTGCTGTATTTTGAGGACTGGTTTCCTTCTTGGCTCTTTCCTTTGATTCCTCTGGGACTAAAATAAATGTTTTAAATGTAATACATGATAGTTAACTATTATTATATTGTGACAAAACCAGTATTTATGAACTAGAGTTTATTTCGGGGGTATTTGTTTTTTTTTCTCCAAACCGAACTACATTTTTTTTTTTATTTTTAGGCGAGATTTAAAAAAACATGCATCTGAAGTCATTGTTGGAGCCCACTGTGGAAATGCAGTACTTCGAGGAGCACATGTTTATGTCCCTGGAATCGTATCTGCCTCAGCAAGTAAGAGTTCTCTAAACAGACCCAGTTAATTTGTAAAAAAGATAGAAAAATTATCTCCCCTTAATGACAATTTCCAATAAACAGTGACAATGTTTTTTTCTATTCACAGCTGAAATTAATCTTATAGTCGTAATTTATGATAAACACTTTTTTAAAAAAAGTTTTTCTGGCTTTTTTGGAGATTTTCACTATTTTTGCGTTATACTTCTAATAAATTATATGTAGTTATTTCTCACCTGGCCTATTCTAGATTCCTTTTTCCTTATGTAATTCCTAGCTGCAGTGTTAATTCTCAAGGATTTCAGTTTACTGCTTTCCAGTCTTATTTTAAAAAAAATAAAAGAATAAGAGGAATGCCACAACAGATGCATTTGGATGGTAACTGGATGTAAGTTGATTATTTAACAGATACTATTTCCAGATACGTTATTTCTTCATTCAGTCACAAAGGCACTTGCCTTCGTCATCCTTTCAGATGCTAAGCTCCAGTTTTGAAAAAGAGGATTTTCTTTTTTTTTAATCCATTGGTGATTCATATGATATTGTTTGTGTATGAGAGATCTAGTAATTTTTTTTCTATTGATGAGAAAGATCTTCAACGTTAATGTCAGATTCTTAAAAAATGGAAATTTTTGTTTCAATGCCTGTGAGACAAGATAAAAATTCTACATATACATGCTTAGTGTTCAGCAGCCTATTTATTTTTTATTTAAAGGTCAAATGAACTATATGTGAAACCAGTATAATTTGGGATGATTCACCTCATTATTCTATTGTGATGAGATCTACTAATCATCACGGTTCTTATTATTAAACAAAGTGAGTCAGAAGAGCATTTATCTAGCCACTTAACTTCACACCCTTTCAGGAAAAAACCTTCAAGAAGTTTTAAGCATGCGCCTAAGTCCAATTCACTGAACAGGAATGTTTTTGAGTCTAGGACTTGATAACGAAATAAGTATATTGCCATAGTAGTTGTTGAAACTGCGTATTTAGACAGCCTTATAAATATTCAAATCCCTCTTTGAGTCAACTAGTGATTTATTATAATTGCTGTATGTAATTATGCATGCAGCATCAATTCAAGGAAAAGAAAAGATAGTGTAAAACTTCAGGAACGCTTCAGGGGAATTGAGGACAGGAAAATAAAATAAAATGGCATGCTACCCACTTGAGGCCAAATATAATACGGTTTAATAAATATTAAGCACATACGGTCCAACTAGGGAAAAAAAAAGTACAGGAAGAACATACATTTAATCACTGAACTTACAACACAAATGAGGGTAAACTAACTATCAGAAGGCTTTGAGTTTAATTTAACTAATCAAACTCTAAGCCTTATGTTTATGGAATGCCAATATAAGCTACAGAAAGCTTAAGAACTGTACACAATACTAATGCATTTTGAAAGAATGATTGTCAGCAGAGAGTGAAATAAAATCCTTTTATGTTTGAATACTGAAAAAAAAATCATTGGCAAATATTTGTGATGGAAGAGTTAAATTGCTGCCATTTTTTTTCCAGTGAAATTTAAGCAGACAGTAACAGTAGGCTATCACATAATGTTTTGTGTCACATTGTGTAAAAAGAAGCTATGCAAAAAAAGAAATGTTTAGTGGCATAGAGGACACACATAGAGGACTGGATCCTGAAAACTGTGCTTAAAACTTATAGGTGACCATGCAGTGATGAAATAAAGTGAAGATCCGTCTCGCCTCTTAATGCTGTTTGATTAGTAACCTTGGTTTAGTGGTAACCAGCTTTAGTCATTTGGTAGCCATTGTTCACCATGTACGCTTTTAAGCCTAATATCAGTTAATCTTCTTCTTTGATTACATTAAGAAAGTTTAAATTTTGCTATGATATAGGAGTTGAAGTAAGTAGTCTCCCGAAAATCCTGAATTATCACTACTGTCTCGTCAAGTATAATATTAATCTCAAAATTTCCATTCTTCTTTGCACAGCTATGAAAGCTGGAGATCTGGTCTCAGTGTATTCAGATATTGAGGGGAAATGTAAAAGAGGAGCCAAAGAATTTGAAGGAGTCAAAGTTTTCCTTGGAAATGGGATTGCAAAACTGAGTCGCAGTGAAATCTTTAGTTCAAGTGGCCCACTGAAGTAAGTCCATAGTTACTGCAGTCCTACACCTACAACTTTGCAAAGGGAAGGAAGAAGGCGGGAAGACGTTTTGAAACGTTCGGTACCCTATGTGAAACCACGAGATGGCTTTGACTGAGACCTGTGTTGCACATTGGGATTTCCAGTATTTTCTGGGAAGTGTTAGTTTCTGGGAATATAATAGAATTGTGCCTCCTGCTGTCTTCTGTAACTTCACAACGAAGGTAGCGGTAATGTGGTGCAATTATGATTAAAGTACTATGGAAGTATTAGCAAGCTCAACATGTCGTTTCGTAGTGGTATCCAGATACCAGTTTACTGAAGAGGTAGAAGAAAATAAATGAGAGCCTTTTCAGAATTTATGTTTAGCATATGACTTTGATAATATAGAACAAACAGAAGTGACAAACATTCTCACAGTGGCAAAATTGCATTTTGGTAAATATTTCCGTACAACTTTCCTGTTTGGATGGAACAGAAGTGCAGCCTTGTCCATGTGTTGTGGTTTAGGCCGATCCGGCAACTAAACTCCACACAGCCGCTCTCTCACTCCTTCTCCAGTGAAATGAAGAGGAGAAAAATATAATAAAAGGTCTGAGGGTCGAGACAAGAACAGAGAGGGAGCACCCGCCAACCCTGGTCCTGGGCAAAACAGACTCGGATTTCTTAAAGCAAAACAATTTATTAACAGTTACTAAAAAAGGACAAAGGGAAACAAAACTGGTTACTTGAGAGGATAAAGAGAAAACAAGGCCAGATCTTAAAAATCCCCCCCCCCCCTTCCTTTTCTTCCCGGCTCTACCTCCTCCCCCCAGCAGCACAGGGGGCAGGGACTGGGGGAGTGCAGGTCAGTTCATTCCGTGCTGTTACT